ACGCTGTAGCTCTTCAGTGGCTGCACTACGCTTAAATACTAGATATTCCAGGGAAAAAGGAGGGTTACTTAAGAACCGCCCTGCTGGACAAGGCCAAAGGGGCGTATAACCATTCCTACAGCAGTCCCCTGGATGTCTTCAGGCCTCCCTATCAGGTGGAAATGGGTTTGAGTGCTTCCCGTGGAGCTGTTCTACCTTGCAGGGGTTACCTGCTGCAGGTAGTCCCACCAGTTAACACTGCCACCCAAGGGCAGGTGGCTTCTGCCAAATCACACAGCACCCTCTGTTGTGGTGACGGGAATCAGTCCTCACCCCGAGAAGTTGGATTCTGTGCTATTGAGGAGATTCCCACTGAAACTGTCAGCCCAGTAAAGAGAGAGTCGGGCTCTCAGTTGAGGCACCGTTTGTTTGAGCCACAACAGGAGAGAGAAAGCACTGTAGACACCTCCCGTTTCCCCAAGAGGCAAGCGACCAACTCCTTCCCAAAGACTAAGTCCCTTCCAGCCCCTTGAGGCAGGAAACCATCTGCCAAAGAAAAGCACAAACACACATGGAAAAGCCAGGAATACCTGTCTACTCAAGGTGCCCCGATGCCCAAGTTTCTCCAAGGCCGGCCAACACCATCTCCCCGTCTCCAGGGAAGAGGGTTGACAGCAATGAGAACCCTCTGCTGCCAGACTAACTTTCCCACATTTACATTACAACACCCTGGGCATACTGAACACGTGCATATCTGCACGCTCGCTGCATATCTACTGTGTGTTGGTGGTCGTTTCGGGAGGATGGAACAGGAGAGAGTCTTCTGGAGTCTTATCTGGACTTTTTGACACTGCGTGTTCCTCTGGGACGGGCTTCCCGAGGAGCCTACGCTGCTGTAGCCATGATTTTGAGGCCCGATCATCAGTCTTCTGGCTCTCTCTTGCTGGCAATAAAATACCCTTCTTTCCAGAGAGACAGGCTGACTCTGTGCTTCTAGGAAAGGCAGAACTGCCTGGATGATTCAGACGTGGCTGTGCTGTAGGCAATAGAGAGGCCTAGCTAAGGTGCAGAGGAGAACTCAGAAATAGCAAAAAATGACCTTGAGAAAGGTGCCCCTACACTGCAAGGCTGGTTTTCTCATCTGTCATTACCACCCCCCCCCCGAAATGGCACCTTTTCCAAAAACTCTGAGGGCCCCTTTGAACTGTGGGGTTCACATGGTGAACTCCTGGCTTCTGTCCTCCCCCTGGGAAAACATCATGTGTTTTGGGGAGGCTGAAAACCAGCTCCTCTTGGCTCTGTTGACAAATGGAAGGAAACTCTCAGTGCAGATATCTTGACAACCTCTTGTATTTAATGGTCAAGGGCAAAGCATCAAAAGTCAGAAAGCACGGTAAGTCAAATGGGAACGGGGGGACGAGGGACGACAATATTTTGCCACTTTCCTGCTTAAAATACATATAGGGAATTTGGGGAGGTGAAGGATAGACAGAATATAAAAACAGCTCTACGGGAGGGCCTTGCAGGGATAAGGTGTGACCAGCATCTCAGTTTGGGAGGGAAGATGATCAGATAAATGAAATGCCCACCCAGTCCTGAGCTGGGGTGATGATTGAAACTCTTTCTGTATTCCAGGAGCAGCTGTCGAGGAGACAGATGGGGAATTCCAGGGATTCTCTTTGGAAAAAGTCAAGAATGAAGATGCCAACGAACACTTTGGAGATGGAGATGGACCCCACGGGCAGGAGGGAAGCCAAGCAGGCAAGAGGAGGGATAAGCCCATTCCTTACTGAGGAGGGGGCTTCCGTGAAATCCGTGACAATATTTTGCCACTTTCGCACTTAAAATACATATAGGGAATTTGGGGAGGGGAAGGATAGACAGAAAATAAAGACAGCTCTACGGGAGGGCGTGGCAGGGATAAGGTGTGACCAACATCTCAGTTTGGGAGGGAGAATGATCAGATAACTGAAATGCACACCCATTCCTGGGCAGTGCCTGACTGGTGCCTCGGCTTCTTGCTGGGGTGATGATTGAAACTCTTTCTGTATTCCAGGAGCAGATGCGGAGGAGACAGATGGGAAATTCCAGGGGTTCTCTTTGGAAAAAGTCAAGAATGAAGATGCCGACGAACACTTTGGAGATGGAGATGGACCCCACGGGCAGGAGGGAAGCCAAGCAGGCAAGAGGAGGGATAAGCCCATTCCTTACTGAGGAGGGGGCTTCCGTGAAATCCCAGTCCAAGAAGAAGGGTCAATCAAAAAGAGAAGGGACAAAGACCTCCATCCTAACCAGAGAATCCACTCGGGGGAAACTGAGAGTGTGGCCTTGGCAAAGACCTTCACTCAGAGAATGAACATCATTCTGCCGACACAAATTCCCTTAGGGGAGAAACCATGTAATTGCTTGCTGTGTGGAAAGAGCTTCATTCAAAAAAGAGCTCTTACTTCACTTTGAAAAAGTCACACAGTTGGGGGGCCATATAAACGGTGAAAGTCTAAACCAAACATCTCTCATGCAGGAGGCTTCATGTACTTTTAAAGTGCATGTTATTGTAGACTTCAGCATACAGTGGGAAGAAGCCGCTGTAATATTTGGATTGCGGATGGAACTTCAGGTGCGGATCAGACCTCCTTGCATGGGTCCTAACAGGATCTCTTTCTTTATTCCAGCAGGGGATGATCAGAGGAATGAGGAGGATGGCGAACTGCATCTTGTATTGCCAGATGAAGTCAAGAATGAAGACTTGAGCGGAAACTTCAGAAACCAAGCTGGACCTAAGAGGCAGGAAAGAAGCCACATCATCCAGAAGAGGGGTAAACCCATTCCTTGCCAAGGGGGGGATTTCCAAGAAGGAATTCACACCGTGAAGGAAACATACAAGTGCTTGGTGGATGGAATGAGCTTCTCAAATCAATCCCAGTATAATATCCATGTACAAATGCACAGTGGAAAGAAGACCCATCGATGGCTGGAGTGTGGAAAGACCATGATTCGCAGAGCTGACCTCCTTAGACATCAAAGAACACATTTAGGAGAGAAACCTTATTGCTGCTTAGACTGTGGCAAGAGATTCTCAGAGAAATCAGACTTTGTTCAACACCAAATGATTCATACAGGAGGGAAGCTATCTATTTGCTCAGGGAGTGGAATGAAGTTCTCTGTGGGAGGAAAAGGTAATATATGTTTTCCAAAGGACAGTGTAATGAATGCATGTAAATGCTTTTGGTGTGGAAACTACTTCAAATACAGATCACAGCTCCTTGTGCACCAAAGAATCCACAGAGGAGAGAAGCCTTTTAAATGCTCAGAATGTGAGAAGAGATTCAGTCGAAGGGGTAGTCTACATCAGCATCAAAGAACCCACACAGGGGAGAAACCTTTTGAATGCTCAGAGTGTGGGAAGAAATTCAGGCAGAGTAGCACTCTTCAAACCCATCTAAGAACCCACACAGGGGAGAAGCCTTTTGAATGCTCAGAGTGTGGGAAGAGATTCAGTCACAGTAGCTCTTTTCAAACTCATCTAAGAACGCACACAGGGGAGAAGCCTTTTGAATGCTCAGAGTGTGGGAAGAGATTCAGTTACAGAACCTCTCTTCAAAGTCATCTAAGAACCCACACAGGGGAGAAGCCTTTTGAATGCTCAGAGTGTGGGAAGAGATTCAGTCACAGTAGCTCTCTTCAAATACATCTAAGTACCCACACAGGGAATAAGCCTTTTGAATGCTTAGAGTGCGGGAAGAGATTCAGTCAGATTGGCACTCTTCAATCCCACCTGAGAACCCACACAGGGGAGAAGCCTTTTGAATGCTTAGAGTGCGGGAAGAGATTCAGTCAGATTGGCACTCTTCAATCCCACCTGAGAACCCACACAGGGGAGAAGCCTTTTGAATGCTTAGAGTGCGGGAAGAGATTCAGTCAGATTGGCACTCTTCAATCCCACCTGAGAACCCACACAGGGGAGAAGCCTTTTGAATGCTTAGAGTGCGGGAAGAGATTCAGTCAGATTGGCACTCTTCAATCCCACCTGAGAACCCACACAGGGGAGAAGCCTTTTGAATGCTTAGAGTGCGGGAAGAGATTCAGTCAGATTGGCACTCTTCAATCCCACCTGAGAACCCACACAGGGGAGAAGCCTTTTGAATGCTTAGAGTGCGGGAAGAGATTCAGTCAGATTGGCACTCTTCAATCCCACCTGAGAACCCACACAGGGGAGAAGCCTTTTGAATGCTTAGAGTGTGGGAAGAGATTCAGTCGTAGAAACTTTCTTCAAACCCATCTAAGAACCCACACAGGGGAGAAGCCTTTCGAATGCTCAGAGTGTGGGAAGAGATTCAGTCACAGTAGCTCTTTTCAAACTCATCTAAGAACCCATACAGGGGAGAAGCCTTTTGAATGCTCAGAGTGTGGGAAGAGATTCAGTACCAGTGGCCACCTTCAAACCCATTTAAGAACCCACACAGGAGAGAAGCCTTTTGAATGCTCAGAATGTGGGAAGAGATTCAGTCAAAGTAGCTCTCTTCAAAAACATCTAAGAACCCACACAGGGGAGAAGCCTTTCGAATGCTCAGAGTGTGGGAAGAAATTCAGTCGCAATGGCAACCTTCAAACCCATCTAAGAACCCACACAGGGGAGAAGCCTTTTGAATGTTGAGGATGTGGGAAGAGATTCAGTCGCAGTGGCACTCTTCAAAATCGTCTAAGAACCTGTAGGGAGATTTGAGGGGTCCAGGCCACTACCAAGGATCCCCAGCCTTGTTAGGGTTCTTTCCCATGGGTGGATGGAGTCTGGCTAGGGAACTCAGGCATCCATAGGGAGGGAAATACAGCGAGAACAGTTGCCTTATACCAAAAGTATTTATGAACTCTAGAAGTAAAACTTAATATTTATTTATTTATTTGTTTGTTTATTTATTTATCCCACCCTCCTCGCTGAGGCAGGCACAGGGCGGATTACATAACGAAACAGTATAAAACCAATAATATTGATATCGATATAAAATACAGGATAAAATTATTAAAATATTAACATATCGATGGCAATATAGTTTTGTAAATGCATTTCAAACATACAGTCAGCAGTACCTTCACTCTCGGCAGGCTTGGGCTGGCAGCAAGTTCGGCACGGCATAGGTGGCAGCATGCAGCTCCTTATCTGAGTCCCTGACGGAAGAGCTCTGTTTTCGCAGTCCTGCGGAACTGTGAGAGGTCCCACAGGGCCCTGATCGCCTCTGGAAGCTCATTCCAATAGGTTGGAGCTGCTACAGAAAACGCCCTGATCCTAGTCAATCCCAGCCTGGTGTCCTTTGGGTCGTGGGGAGCCAAGCGGTTTTGCGACCCTGGCCGTAGTGCTCTCCGGGGAACATATGGGGAAAGGCGGTCCCTGAGGTAGATCGGTCCCTGACCATAAAGGGCTTTAAAGGTCCAAACCAACTTCTTCTTCTTTTTTTTTTTTTTTTGGTAAACAAATTTTATTTTCTCAGGAATACAACATATAAAACATTTCATTCTATCAATTGTCTACCCCATTCCCAGTTCCTCCCCTCCCTCCAATGGCTTCCCACAATGCTTCCACCCCTGCTCCAAATTACTTCATATCATCAACAATATCAGTTTTTCATCATTACAATCTAAAGATAACATCGTTTGACTTAATATTGATCTAAACATATTAAGTTTTGTTTCACATCCCAGTTCTTTTCCAGATAAATTTTAAAATCATTCCATTCTCCAAAAAACTCATCGTCTTCTTTGTTATTCAGTTTTTTTGTAATCTTATCCATTTGTGCCATGAACAGAACTTTTTGTATCCATTCTTCAACCTCTGGTACCTTTTCTGTCTTCCAAAACTGAGCATAAATCATTCTCGCTGTCACTATCAGGTACCAGAGTAAAGTTTTTTTAGTCGTATTGACTTCTTCCATTTTGAGTCCCAAAAGCAGAATTTCCGGTGCTTTTTTAAAAGAACATTTCAGTATTTTTTGCATTTCATTGTGGACTTTTGTCCAAAAGTCTACAGCTTTCTCACAAGTCCACCACATATGATAAAATGAGCCCTCATGCCTCTTACATTTCCAACATTTGTTTGACATATTTTGATTCATATTTGCAATCTTCTTAGGTGTCATGTACCACCTATACATCATCTTATAACAATTTTCTTTAACATTAGTACATGTCGAGATCTTAATAGAATTTTTCCACAAATATTCCCAGGTTTCCATAGCCACTTCCTTATTCATATTAATAGCCCATTTTAACATTTGTTCTTTAACAGTTTCATCTTCAGTATACCATTTTAACAACACCTTATACATTTTAGAAATATTTTTTCCTCCTCCACTCTCCCATACCTTTTCAATTTCATTTTTTTCCTCTCTAAAACCATAGTTTTTTTTGTCAGATCTAAAAAGATCATAAATCTGCATATATTTCAACCACTCATATTCATATTCAATTTCATTCTGCTTTTTCATTACCCACTCTGTTCCCTCTTTTTTAATTAAATCTCTATATGGCAACCAGTCTCTACCTCGCTGTCTTGAGTAAGATATCAACACTTCTACTGGTACAATCCAACCAACTTCTTGAAGCAAATCCGGTGTGCTATTGGCAGCCAGTGCAATGACCTTAGCACAGGCTGGATGTGCTCGCACATAGGGAGACCCATCAGCAGCCTGGCTGCCGCATTTTGCACCACCTGCAACTCTCGGAGTTGCGTCAAGGGCAGCCCCATGTAGAGAGCATTACAGTAGTCCAGCCTCAAGGTGACCATAGCATGGATCACTGTTGCCAGATCATTGCATTCAAGGAAGGGAACCAACTGCCTGATTGGCCAGGGATGGTAAAAGGCTACCTTGGCAGTAGCTGCTACCTGGGCCTCCATTGTTAAGGAGGCATCCAGGAGCACTCCCAAGCTCCTGACCCTTGGCGCTGACACCAACGGCGCCCCATCGAAGGCCGGTAGTGGGATCCCTACCCCCGATCTGCTCCGACTCTGGCACAGGACCTCCATCTTCATCGGATTCAAGTTCAATCGACTCAGCCTAAGCCATCCAGCCACGTCCTGTAATGCCTGGTCCAGGTCTTCCGGGGTGGAGTCGGACTGACCACGCAACAACAGATAGAGCTGGGTGTCATCCGCATATTGGTGACACCCTAGCCCATGTCTCCGAGCAATCTGGGCAAGGGGGCGCATATAGATGTTGAATAGCATCAGGAAACACAATGCCATCCCGCCCCGATGCAGATGCTTTTGGAGGTCGTCTGTGAGGGCGACCAGTGCCGTCTCCGTCCGATGGCCTGGGCGGAAGCCGAACTGGAAGAGATCTAGCAGGGAAGTGTCATCCATAAAGCTCTGCATCGTCACCCCCCTCTCAATTAATTTGCCCAAATAGGGCAAATTGGAAACCGGCTGATAGTTTGCCAATTTGGCTGGATCCAGAGATATTTTTTTTAGGAGAGGGCGGACCATTGCCACCTTGAGAGCCCCTGGGAACAGCCCCTCCACGAGGGACTTGTTGATAATATCCCCGAGGGCACCACGAAACCCCTCACAGCCAGCTTAATTAGCTATGAAGGGCATGGGTCAAGGTTGCACATGGTTGGACATACCATTGAGATCAATCTGTTGACTTCCTCTAGACTGCGTGGAGTGAAATAATCCAAAATCGAACTAGAAGACGTTCATGGAGCCTCAAGTTCACTCACTGTCTCAACTGTGGCGGGAAGGTCGCAGCGGAGCAACAAGACTTTATCTGCAAAATAGCTTGCAAAAGCGTCACAGCCTATATCCAATTTCCTAGTGTTTTGTCTGCCCTGTGGCAAGACTGTTAAACACTGAATAGTTCTATACAATTGGGCCGCCCAAACAGGGTCGGGGTGAAACATTCACTTGAGCCTTCAGGGCATGGTGGTCCAACCATGGAACTGCCGTAGCAGTAATCTGGTCCACTGTAACCCCCGCCGTGAAGATCAAATCAAGCGTGTGACAGGCTCGGTGAGTAAGGGCCGTTACATATTGGGAGAGTCCTAGTGTTGCCATGGACGACACCAGGTCCACCTCCTGTGAGGAGGTCACATCATCAGCATGGACATTGAAGTCACCCAGGACTATCAGTCTAGGGTGCTCCAATGCCCAGCCCAACACAGCCTCCACCTGGGATGACAGGCTATTGGTTGGTGCGTTGGGCAGTCGGTACACTAACCAAATAGCCAAACTCTCCCCGGCTTCCCACACAAAGCTGGCACTCTGCCTGTGAGCCTTGGTGACGGGAGCGCCCTGAAGGAGTAAGCCTCCTGAATGAACAGAGCCACTCCTCCCCCCTGCCCCTTAGTCTGAGATTGGTGGAGGACCGAGAACCCAGGAGGAGTTGACTGGGAGAGAGCTACTGTCTCCCCATCTCGAACCCAAGTCTTGTTCATGCACACCAGCTCCACATCCAGCTCCAGCAAAAGTCACGAAGGACTGAGGTCTTATTATTTATGGACCTTGTGTTGCACAGCACCAATGTCGGAGTGGGGGTTTTACTCTTAGCCCCACTGCCTGCCACCTTTGGGATGGGACGCAGGCTGGAACTTGGCCAAGCTCCTTTGTTTCTCTGTACATCTACAGGGCAAAGGCTTTAGTTTTTATGCCTATGCTGCCAGCAAAAGAGCAAAAGCTTATGGGACTTCTGAACCTAGAAACTAAAGAAACCTAGAAGGTAGATATACTACAGATCACTGTATGATCCTCCAACGACGGGGGGCGGGGCTTCGGGAGCGTACGCA